CACAGGTGTTTCCTTCGCCCCCACACGGGTGTTTTTCTACACAAACTCACAAATGCAAGCACAGAGCACTCAGCCTGCTCCTTTTCTTCTGTGCTATTCCCTCTTCTTCCCAGGTGCTTGGCTTGCTGTACAATTGCCTGCCTGCCTTTGCATGGCTCCACCTGTTTGGAGTCCCGGGAGAATGGCCCTGAAGTGACATATGTGACAGTGCCACTATGCACCAGGCAGGGCTGAAATCATTGCAGGGCCAGACAGGGTAACGTGGGGGCTTTGCAGAACCCAGGGTTGGCATTGGGACACGTGGGCTTTCCTGTGTCACATCGAACTGTGGGCAGAACTTCTTGTCACAGTGAGGGGAGCAGGACTGCTGCTCTTCTGCTAAGGCTTTAGAGGTTGCAGTTTATTCCTTTCAAATGGTTGTGTTGTGTATTGTGGTTATTCCAGGTCTGCAAACATCTAAAGAGCAATAAATGAAATCTACACTATCTTGGGCACTCTGAATTCAACTCAGTCCAAGCCAAGATAATAAAAAAATTAGTTTTAATTGAAGGAAATTTAACTACGCCCTAATCCTTTTTTCTGCTTCAAAAGTTCTGGCCTTTATAGCTGGCTAGTGCTCTGAAGGATATACTCTACTTAAACACACATCTCATCTGAAAGCCAGCATTTGCCCAGTAACAAAGTGCTTTTGAAAATACTTTTCTACCTATCTGTAATACAGCAATATGGAAAAACCAGGCACTGCTGGAGGTGGTGTTTATGTTCAGGAAGCAATACAAAAATATTAATCCAGGGAACACCACTGTTCTGAGCTGCTCCCTCAGGAAAGGCCAGGTAGTGCTGCTGCTCTGCAGTGACCCCTTGATTTTCCTCCTTCATCTACACTTTCCTTTTTAGCTCTGCCCTCATTCCTCACCATCACCACCCAAAAAGGCAAAGCCCCTCTCAGCCTYCTTTTCATGAGCCCTCCCTATCGTACTGTCCTCTGCAGCACATGACAAGCAACCACAGTCAAATTGTGCCTTTGATTATTCCAAAAATAGAATCTTAAAGCCAGGCTTTCACAGCACTAAGCCAGAACAATACCAATGATTTTGGTATCTAAATTCCACCTCCATGTAAAACTGCTAGCTTATCTTGGCAGGCACCTCACCTCCAGTGCAGGAAAATCCTGTGATTTCGCAACTTTTTWAATTATTGTTTTCTTCCTTTTTCTTTTTTAAAGTTTTTTTCTAACTTTCAATCTTCCTGCCTGTGTGAAGTGCTGCTTCTGGGCGTGGCCAGACAGCTTCACTTTCACTGTCAGAGCAGCTCAGGCAGAAGTTTGGCAAAGGGCAAAAAAAGCAGATTTTTTTTTACCAACTGCCCCAAGGCAGTGGAACTGGTTCAGGCAGGTGATGAGAGCGTGTTTGATCCTTAATAAATTGGCAAGCAGAACAGTGCAGATAAGAGATAACTAGAGGATAAATCAAAAGTTTTTTAGAAATATGGCTCTTTTTAAAAAACTTTCATGGAAGCTCTTGGATGGTGGGAAACTGCTGTATATTGATCAGTCCCTAGAAACAAACATCGGTGTGTACTTTCCATACAGGAAAGTGAGAAACCAGAGTGCTGACCCTGGGGACCAGCAGAGGCTGATGGATTGGGCTCAGGGACAGGCAGAACAGAAATAAACTCTGGAGTAGCCAGTTGTGGGTAATCAGTGACCTCTAGAAAGGACATAAAAGCAGCGCTTGCTGCTTTTCCTGTTTTCCTGTTGTGCTGGAAAAAAATAATATTCCTTCTCCAGGAGAGGAAGATAACAAGCACTGGTGCCACTTTCTGACCTGCTCCCATGCAGCAGGGTTAAACAAGCCCTGGGACCAGGGACTGCAACCAAGAGCCACCTGTTCCCAGCAGGATGACCTCCCAAGAGTGCAGCCCTGTGCATCCGCAGAGGAGCGAAAGGTAAGCCAAGGGCATGGCACTTGCACTTGCTCCAGTATGAAACTTGAAACAGCCCAAACAGGTGGGCTGCTTAAGAATACCCTAGAGCTTTGTGGTGAGGGCTCTCTCCTGCCACCTGGGTAWAAATCTCTGCAGGCAGAAAGAACAGGATGCAGGCCTCCCTTTCTCAGGTACCCACTTCTCTGTTTCACACAACCTGCAGCACCTCCAGGATGCCCAGCAGGGCCCGGTGATATGAAAATCCAGCTTTGCTTGGCWTTCTGATGGCACTCAGTCTAAAAGCAGGTCTGTGCTTTGCCCAAGATGCAGGGATGGCCAAGGCCCCAGGCCAGCACACAGCCTCAGCAGCAGCACTTGGCTCACTGCTGTCTCTAAGCACAGTGGAGCCCACAGCAATTTTAAGTTAAACAGGGCAGAGCATATGGCAACTTCATGCCACATTCCAGAGCCTGTGGTCAGGTCTCATGTGTCCTCCCACAGCTTTAGTAGAAAATGAAAATGCCAGACAGRCTATGAAGTGCAGGCAAGCAGTAAAGAGATTTCTCAGTCACCCCAGGCAGATGTGCCCTTTAACAACCGGTACAGCCAGAAACTGCTGCTATCTGCCACCACCTCTGTTAGTGCAYAATGGACTCACATTAATTCCTCCCTTTGGAAGCTTTCTACTAATGTTTGCACCTGATTTTCCTTCTCTCCTGCTCCTTTTTGTCCTAGTAAGTTCCTAGTCTTCTTCCATGGAGCACCACTTGACACCCACCCCCCCCCCCCCCCCCCCCCCTTCACTGCAAGTTATCATTTTCCTGCTACCCCACTTAGACCCTGCATAGTGAATTGTTTCCAAATGGTGCAACCAATTCTCAGCAACAGAAAAAGTGTGCAAACTGTCACATAACCTGCAGTGTCTTCATCCAGCACCACGGTCCTCAAGCTTTTCAAAACCACCCTACCTCTTTTTTTTGAAACCTTTCATTTCCCCTTCTCATTTTCCCAATTTCTACCTGACGAAAGCACTATTCACACTCTAACTTACCTCAAACCCCCAGAGCTCAGACACGAAGTTTTAGTTTTTTCACAGTATGAAACAGTTTTCTACTAATTCTCTTCTCACAGCATTTACATTTTAACTTTTYAGTAAAAACTGAATGCCAAACTCTATCTGTGTTAGCTCAAAGGACAAGAGCTACACTCATTTTAGAGATGAACAAGATGGACAACTTTTGGGTGAGACAGCTGGAGATCAGCACATTCAAACACAACAGCAGGGAACAGGTTTTTCTGTGGCTCCTATTTACTGTTCTCCAGTAACAGGATGTGTTCTGACACTCCCCAGAGAAAAAGTTGCTGCTGTAGTGGAGGAAGGAAGAAAATKAGCAGGACAACAATCTGATTCTCCACATCACCCAAATAGCCAACAGAGTTTATTTCTAAAACAGCTGGAATCCCATATTTGACAAAGTTGCAGACAGATGGAGCTTTCAGAACCAGGTTGACACTGAAGGAAACTTAAAACACTTTTGCTGGCAGAGGTACARCAGAGAGGTGTCGAATTCCCTGCCAGACGGAGCTGTCATTCAAAGGCCCCCGGTGGAGCTGGTGATAACAGAAAATCTGTGCTTTTCTTGGTAGACATGCTTCACAAGGARGATCTGGGGAAAGCAAGGAAACTTTGGCAGCAGAGATGTCAGTCTTCCAGCCTGAAAGCATCCTGCATTAGGAGCATCTGGTGAGTCTAWGCACCCGGCACTGTCATAACAGCCAAAACTGCAGGAATACTTTAGCCCTGTCAATAGGCACAAAAACCAAAAGGGAGCTTGTAACTTACTTCTCTTGATCCAGTATAAACAACTGCACTTATTACAAAACATATTCTTTGGATGATCACAGAACATAGTTCAGAAATTCTTTGGTTGTTAGACTGCATTAAATTCCCCTTGACTTTTTTTCCCTCCATATGGTGAAAAGTGACAGAGTGATGTGAGAGGCTGAAAAAAAAGGCTCGTGTAGTGTAGTGTCAGGAGAGGGGGCATGATTCCAGGAGAAAGTGGAAACAGCCTTTTCTGCACAGCAAGCTCAGGCTCCAGCCCCAATCCTTAGCAGGTGCTTCTCCTCACTGCAACCTCAGAACTGAGGTCTCAGCTGCATTCACACTGTCTGCAGGAGAGCACTGGCTTCCCACAGGACTGCCAAGGGGGCTTAAAGCTTGTGGGAAGTTCCTACTGTCAATCCGAGGTGATACCTCRGGAGGTGAAGGAGAAATAGCACAGTCTCTTTCCTCTGGGGAAACAGAGGAGGTTATGTCCTTAAATATCTATTATATCAGTCCAAATTAAAGTCAGAGTGCTGGCTTCCAAAAACTGTAGTTAAGTCAATCTTGGCAGGAGGACTGGCGATCAAGCACCCCTGTCGCAAAAAATTAGATACACATACGTGGGTGTGTGTGTGTGGGTACCTTCTTCTCTAGGTATTTTCACTCAAAGTGCCCRGAATGATGTCCCCTGTCACATATGKCCCTTTGACYGGCCCTGTGCTGGCAGGRCAAGGAAGCCTGAACTATCCTGACACTGCTGGATTCCCAGCTGAGAAGAACATTTGTTCTCTTAAGCCAGAAAGTCTTTGAGGCATGCTCAATTCAGGTTGTTAAAAAGAAAAAGATGGCCAATTTTTGACTAAACACAAAACGTTATCATCTGAAAGTACAGGGCAGAAAACCAGGCCAAAGTTGAAAGAAATAGGAAATAGCCAATATAAAACGAGTAATGTTATAACTGCCTGTTATGTAGTTTAATTTGAACAATCCTCTGTATTAATGTTAAAGTGCTTTATCATGGAGTGAACGCATGCACCTTCATCCACTAAATACAGATTTTTGTGCTTTCCAGTTGTTTCCTGCTCTGTGTTGCTCTATATAGGRCACTTTTGAAAAGGAATAGCAAGAAGGATCACAGAAACTGTGCACCRTGAGGAGGGAGATTCCTACCTCTCCTGGTTATCTGCTCAGTTATTTTCATTTACTTACTCAAAACTTTTGATACTTTAGGAGTACCAATTTGACCAATTTTCTCTTGTCAAAAAGTTAAAAAAATTCTGAGTAAAGATACATATATTAGGATGTGAATAAAAGTAAGGTGACAATAAATAGCAATATATGTTGACCTGATATGAGGCACAACAAAAATTTTCTGAGAGAATCATTAAATTACTCAGCAGTATTGATGCGGAATTTCTGACAAATAGAAAAACACATGGCAGGCCAGAAAATGCTTTTTTCTCCAGACTGTTCCTGGTAAACTGTATAAACCCAACTTCTGCTGCACCMTCATGCAATTGTCTTGACAGAATAAACCAAGCTCTACTTCACAACTAGACATGAAAAGAGAAGCTCCAAGGAGGAAGAGAGGCCCACGCTTCCTTTTTTCCCACAAAGAATTTCCAGCTCACCAGAGATGGACTGCAATAGAAAAGACAAAGGTGCCAAGAAGGCATTGTCTCAGTGCTGAAGTTATGTAGAACTTCAAGATGACACCAGGTTGGACAAAACTGAACTGTTCTGTCTGTCCAGGCTCTGGGCAGAGTGCCCAAGAGCGTAAATTCCAACTGAGGCAGAGGAAGTGAAAAACCACAGAGAGAGAGAGAGAGAGAGAGAAAGAAGCACATTGCTCCATTCAGAATGGGCTTTCCATAAAAACTGTTAGATTACAAAGAGAATAATTTATAGCAAATGCACAGAAATTTTTGACAGAAGAGGTCTTACTGTGAAAAGGAGAAAAAAATAGACCCCACAAAATATTAAACATATATTCTTGGGTACATATTTTCATGTATTTGTCAAGGGAAGTTCTTAAGAATAATCTTTGATTGCTAAAAATTCATGGTTAAAGCCCCCAATTTCATCGTGTACTGTTGGGGCTAGGAGGGAGTGTTTGCAGTGATGTATTCAAGTTGCAGTTCATCATTTTTGATGCTGGCTGAGCTGATGCTAGGAAAAGTCCACAGTTCTGATACAAAGAGGTAACAAAGACTTGGGTCAGCTTCTCCAGGCACAAATTACTTTGTAACAGTTCCTTTGTTAAACAAATAATCCTGGAGGTTAAGAATCAAGTAGGAATTTGCAGGATTTCCCTTGTGTAAACAGATAGAGGAAATCAGAAGCAATTTTTCCATCCCTCTGAAAGGAAAACCAAATGACTGTCCAAATGAGTTTTAAATACATTTCCAGCTATTGCAAATAGCTGCATATGACCACAGCCCAGCTTGTGAGACAGAAGTTGCCTTTCTCCGAAACAAGCAGGTTCTCTGTTATAAACTTCTTTGGGTGGGGGGAAGTGGGGGGAGCAAAAAATCTTTGGTTCACAACGTTGTTTTGCACAGGCATTCAAGYAGATCTTCCAAAGCTACCAGCTTGTCCAGGCTAGTAACAAAACACCCATGGCTCTCTCCTCAGTAGCGGACACTCCTCTTTGGTATCCTGTTTTGTAAGGCAGACGTCTTGCACAGATGATGGAGTCACACAGATGCATCTTTGAAAAGGAAGACAGTGTCACTTGTGTTGCCACAAACAAATTAATCCAATTTATTAAGCAACATACTGAAAACCATCTTTTGGTAAGGGGTGGGGGAGGGAGAAAAGAAAGTGTTGCTATGTTCACTGTCGGCTAGAAGCAAGTTATTTTGCTCTTGTAGTTACTTGTTAACAGCTGTCAGTAGCTGTGATAATGTCTGTGATGACAGAAAATTTGTAACGAYGCCTTTTTGAATACTTTTAAGGAAAAACAACAAGGGAATTAATGAATACTTCCACGTAAACAYAGCCCTGTGCCAGAAAATTTAAATATTCATTTTGGGAAGCATTCTGGCAATTACTAAGCATGACACTTACTTGTTGATTCTGTGATGCACGAAACCTTGTAGGATGACCACATGCTTATAACACAAAGTATTGTAGCCAGGAACCCGAAAGTCTGGATGAGAAAACAAACAAACCACAAATACTTAGGGAGCATTAGATGACACATGTTCCATACATGTATGGACACTTTCGTATATTCAGCTACACATTTTATGGGATTAACAGACCCTAAAAAGGTGTTTTTTTCCTACTCCATTCTGACAAAAGACTAAAACCCCAAAAGTYTCCATAGTATAATAGCAGCTTATGTCTTGTCAAAACAATGATTGAAAGATGAACCAAGAGTCATATACAAGGAGGGAGAAAAGGCTGGACAGTAGCATGGAGTCTCAACTTCTAAACTTCTCACTAGGATTCTGCAACAAAGAAAAGCTGTTTCTAGCAGCTCTGATTACTGCTCTTTTACCCCATTCAAATAAGTCTTTCCCTGCTGTCTGCCAAATAAACAAGTCAGGTAGCTCGTCCAGTCTGTTTGCATCATCAGGACTCAGTTTCTGAAAGTAATTCTTTATTCTGGAGGAGTTGTATTTCAAGTCCTGCTGCTGTGAAAATACTGTCACCCACACTTCTAAGTCACTCCTCTGTCTGTAAAGCCCTCCAGCCAACAGAGGCAGAGAGCATCTGCCAATAAGTCAGCTCAGAGCCCCAGTGGGTTTTAGCTCAGGAGAAATTATCTTGCAGGGCTCTGCTCGGGAGCAGGAGGTGTCAAAAGCCAAATCCTTTAGGCAACTTCCAGCTGTTACAACAGTCTTTTCTCAAAACTTAATTGTCCTAATTCTTCACCTAAACGCATTAGTTCCTATGAGTTAAAGCAGAAGCCTTTAGTTTCAACACTCTGGCAGGACAAACACCAACTTTAGTGGTGACTCTGGCATTGACAACAAAATATTTTTGCTGGCCCTGTGTCACAGAACATTCACTGAAATGAGCTAGAAGGTAGTTCACCCAACCAAGACACAAGAAAGGCAACTTTGTAAGAAAACAGAGGTACAAGTGACAGATTTCCAATGCCCTGCTTAATATATGTTGCAATTTTAAAAGAGTCAAGACTAATAAACACAGTCTTACCGCTCCAGCCACMAGTCCAGTTATATTGTAACTCTTGGCTGCTGCTACAATCGATCCAATGAGAAGCAGAAGTGTACCAATYAGGTAATGAAGAAACTCCTGAAAAGACAAGACAGCATGTATCAGAAGGGAAACTTTTTTGGAAAGTGTTTTGATATGTCTCAGAAAGAAAATAAGCTGGCAGAGGTGACTCAAAGCCTTAAACCCAGAGGACAAAACACAGTCAAAAGGAAAAAAAAAATAGCAAAGCAAAACCAAACAATGCAAAAACCCCCAAAACCAAAACCAACACCTCACCCTGTGAGTGGTTTTTATGCAAAACCTCAGTTTCTGTCCAAAAAAATAACAGTTTGCGTCTACTGATGTTACTGGAATAAGATTTACTTCCTGGGCATGGATGCAATCTTTTCAATTCAGCGTGGTACATTAYTTTACTGCATCAAGTAGCACCTTACTTAAAGAGATGGTTCTGGAGGAAGGAAGAAGCCTTAAGGATGTATTCCTCTAGCCTATATGAAATGGCATAAGTGGAAAATGAAATGCTCCTACTTCTGATAATCTTAGAAAGTAAGCTCTGGATCTACTGCTGCATTTACTAACAACTTATATCAACCAATACTGGAAATAGAAGGGAAGCCACGAAAAGCATAACTGCAGTACAACATGATGCCATGAGGYTTTTTTGAGAGAGGACCAAGGCATCACAGCTCTTCTCTGGCTGGAGTCACAGCTCTCTCTTCCAGGAGTCAATTTGACCTTGTTACAAGCAGGGGGTATCTGTGGATCTGGATTTTGAACCTCATGGAGCTTAGGACAACCTGTACAGGTGTTTACACACCGAGCATGGGTTGTTTCTTGTGCACAGTGGGGTGGGCAGGGGGGTATCTGCTTCCTTCATCTGCACTGCACCACCAACRTGAGCCAAGCAAGTACAAGGGAGAGGAGAGATTCTGTCTCAAACCAAAAGACAGAATATAGTCCCAAAAGGAAATTGTCCAAGGAAAGCCCAGAAGATGAACAATTTACMATACCAGTCTTACTCTGCTCAGTTTTAGAAAGAGCTGAGAAGGATTTTTGCTGTAAAGCAGGCTCTTCAGAGAGTGCAATTTACTTTCCTAATTCGCAAACTTRTTTCGGTTAATCAAAATCTCAACCCTTGCATTTGCCAGAATAAATTATATGCATAAGGAGGCTTCTCTGACTAGCCCATGACGCAGCAGGCAAATGAGACGTGCCATTCTCTCCTCACAGACACCAAATAAAGCACTGTACACAGGCTACTACTTTAGAGAAATCCAAGGGATGGGCAAAGCTGCAATAGAATCATCAAAGGCTACATTAGGTGGAGAACCAAGCCCCAGCAGGGCTGGAAGAGTGGCCCTCTGGAGAAATGCTTCCAAGATTTAAAAGGTGTTAGCACTGAACAACCTCTTGAACCACTTCAACATTACTGGCTGCAAATCACGCCCCTGATTGCAATGTAAAGATCTTGCCAGGAAACTCATCCGAATGCTAGCTGCAGTTTCAGGAGCCTCTTACATGTTCATCCTCTTCTGTTCTAAAGATACTTAAATGTGACTGAAAAGGAGGTTGTTTGTTTTGTAACAGAGCAGCAATGTCCAAGCATCACATCCCATAAAGCTTTCTGAAGCTGAGCAGCCACAGAATTCAGTGCCTTAAACTCACTAGTGGCTCTGGAACACTGAGGAATGACTATACACAACAAAAACCCCAAAAGCAGACTCTGTGTAGGCAAAAATAGCTCAGTTCTGTTACAGCAATGCATGCATTAAATGCTCCTTTGCGAAACTGTAATTTATTACCTTACTTCGATCCCTTATTTCAATCCCTGCATCTTTACTATCTCTAAATAAATAAGTAGCTTTAGAAGCAGACAGTGGTGGCACACATTTGAAAAAAAAATGTCTAACCATGTTATTCAGCTAAAAGAAAAGAGAAAACAGTATTTTTCTCCCTGGTTATAAGTGGATGGATGGACAAATTGTTATCTTAGATCTGTAAACTAATTACACAGCTTCCATTAACCACCACCCAACCACTTCTTGGATTTCAAAATTCCTCTGTATCTCTCCATTTGGCTTTCCCCACTCCTTTGGTCCTTCTTCAGGGAAATGAACATATATAAGGGAGGCATGTTCTTTTGGGACAGGATGTAGCACATGAATTCTAATGTTAAAATCCATCATCCCACACTAGGATGCAGAACTCTTCTGTTAGCTGACCTGACCCAGAACTACTGAGAAAGTTCAGGTCTCACATTTTTGATGCTGCTTGTTAGCTCTTTGCTAGGAAATGAGAGATGGGTGTGTATGGGAAATGTGGGAATGAGGCAGGAACATCCTGCAGGATATCCCAGGAATGGCCAGGCTATGGCAATCAGGCTGAGGCTCCTATTTTTTGCTATTGTTTAAGTTACCTAAAACCGTACTAAAAAGAGACACATCTGATTTAAATAGCACTGTCAGATTTTATTTTGGGACAGGAYATAGCACATGAATTCTAATGCTATTATTTGGTACTTTAGCAATCCCTTAGCTGCTATAAATGATCTGAGTTAGACCCATCTGCTGAAGGCTTGATGATCAGTTGCTTCTTTTCAACTGTCTCTTAATAAAATTTTTGCCTTCCACAGAGTAAATCTAGGTTTAAACCTGCGTAAAGGAGGGTACAATAAAATCCAAATCAGCTAAGAAACTTACACTTACAAAATCTATGTAGCTGAATACAAACAACAGGATTTGCATACAAGGCAAAAAAGAATTGAGTGAAAGACAGGCACCAYTGTGGGATAGCCCAAATGGACTGAGACAGTGAGACATCAACCCCCAAGAGAGSAGAGGAGCCCAGGCTTACCGCGAGTGGCCAGCTAACACAAGTCAGATTCCTGTAGACTCTGAAAATGTGCATGATGTAGAAGAACAAAATCATGACCAAGTCGCACATGGTGACRATCTGGAAGAAGCTGTATGCACTGTAATCTGTCCATGAAGAATTATTTACGCTGATGAATGCAATCAGCAGTGAGATCTGGAAGACAAAAGGAGCATTAGAGGTTTTTACTATGGTGCTCAGAGGGTTGTGGAGATGATTTTAMGCACAACAAAATCACATTTAGAAACAGAAGACAAATACCTAATGTAAAAGGGATGGTCCCAACAAAATGGAGGACAAAGTAATGAGCATGATAATAAGGTTTTGCAATTTGCTGATAAACGAGCTTAAGCAGCCATTAGGAGTGGGGAAAGGGGCGATGGCCAGAARGAAARCAGCAGTTTCAGCCTGAAGAACTCAACTTGAAGATGTCTCTCTGTACAACAGAAGAGGTCTCAAATAGAGAAGAGGAACTGAATGCCTGGAGTTGCACCRCTGTCTGAAGCACCTAAACCCCGGWGACTTTCAGGAGTTCACTGAAAGCTGTGAAAATGGAAGTGTCCATGAACACATGCATCTTTGCTTTCATTTAGTGACATTTCTCACATGCAAAAGCAGAGGATCTGGCTGCAACTGTAATAGTGTTACTCTTCCTTTTCTACCACCTACAGAAGAGGAGTATTAGCAGACTAAGGCAGTATCAGAGCAAATAACAGAAACATTTGGAGGAATTGATTAATTCACCTCACCCCCAAAACTTTCATAAGTTAACACTGTTAACTGCCACATAAAACTGTAAAGCATTATTGCACAACTTCTTTCAGCTGTAGGCTTGCTAAGGACAAAGCTATTTCATTTTTCCCTTAATCTAAAGCTACTTGTTTATTTTACTAATCTTGCTGCTTCCACCAGCCTGGCTAACCTGGGTCATCAAAATTAATCTACCGAGAATACACTAAAATATTTTTTATATTACAGACTCTGTCAATGCATGCTTTCAGCCACTGTAATTTTTAGTTCATCCAAAGTCAGCCAGAAGCTCTAATGATTCACATATTATGTGCTTCTCCTAGACATTAAAAAATTATCTGRGGAAGCCAGTGCTTCAAGACAGCATCATCCTTTCCTGCACACTCATCTTGCAAACTTCTAACCAACTGTATTCATTATCAGAATAATTTCCTTAAGATTAAAAGAAAAAAAAAAACAAACGCAACGCCCAAACAACATAGCTTAGATTCTCCCTAAGCATTAGCCAGGTTTCACCTGCTCAGTTCTAAGTGGACAGGCTAAATATATGCATGCACAAGGGCAACCAAAAGCTCCATACATAAGAACTTGTCAAGGACCTGTCACCTTCACCAAACTCCATCCAAAGAGCCACATCAATGCCTTGACAGTGAACCACCTCAAAATGGTGGCCTCGAAGAAAAAAGTCAGTGCTCTGGGYTCTTTACCACACAGGTGGCCAGGCTGCTGCCAGAGCTGGTCCAGCTCCGTTGTTTTTACTGTGGTAGTCCAAGGAGTTGATTTTTAGCACTCTAAGTGATGCTCAGCCCAAGCCAGTGATGGGTTTAGGTACAATAAACCTGCAACTCCTCTCACCTTTGAAYAGACCCAGGGCAGGGCAGACAGGGCTTGTAGGTGCAGGGTTAGATCACACTCCCTGCTTCTCAAGAACAGAAGTCACATGTGCCTTTGAAAATGCATGATAGTGCTCAGTCCCTGTCTCCCCAAACATGTTCCTGCCCTCTGGTTTGGGAGTGTAACATCAGAGTGTCTCCCTGCATTTCAGGGCTGCTGTCTGTACCACGCCTGACCTCTGGGTCTCACTGCCTCGCTTCTGGAGGATCCCGAGTGCACAGAGCCTCACACCTTGTGCGTGGCACAGCTCTCTGAGGTGCTACGTTTCTTAGAACACAACAAAGCAATGATCTACACAATTCAGCATTTAAAGAACTCTGGTTCAGTTCTTCAATTCTGAGATAATTTGGGTGCAGTTTGTCCAATCTATGTCTACATAAGGAACATCCACATTAAGCAGTGGTTTCATGAGAGGCCACGGCGTCTGTCATCTTCTCCTTCCCACTCTAATTTTACTTCCTGTCACGTATTGGCTTCTCCACGGATCTGTGCTGTGCCACCTCAGTGGGCTAAGCCAGCAGAAAAATGAACTACTGAATAAAAGCTTCAYTCTGGCTCAGCCATCGCACAAGGCAGGGGAAGGTGAGCAAAGGACCGTGAGGGAGAGGTCAGGACTCCCACAGAAAGGACAGGAAGAACTGAGCAGGCAGGATGGCAGCAGCCAGTACCATGCTGGCTGCTCAGGCTGCCACACACCTTCCAGCTCAGTCCCCTGAATCTTAATGTGAGTGAAGCACAGTCATCTGACTTAGCCACTGAATGACTTGAACAATCAGAAGGAGATCATTTGCCCTATAATCTAGGAGAACACTTTAAGTSATGCAAGACACAGCTATTATTTCCATAATTTAAAACTGAATTTAATGAAATTTTATTCTATAGGGAGACTCGACAACAAGTCACAGCAAGCACTGAGTCTTGCTCTTGGATAAAGGTGGGATGAGGACAACGCTTCTCCAAAGGCCAGAAGCAGTTTCCCTTGCTCTGGTGTCTTCACAATAATCAGTTCCCACTTTCAATTATACTGTAAAAATCAAGAAGGGAGCATTCATACTCAGAAACATTAAATCTGCCCACTGGCTCATTTCATGCACGAACAATTAACTTCAGCAGGTTTTTTGACAACGTACAAAGGGTAAGGAGGAGGACTGGACTCTTGAAGCACAGCTACCATCCAAATAATAAAAAGCACTGGGGAAAAAACCCTTAATGTAAGCTAGAATCAGTTCTTTCAATTTCAAGGAAGCATAAAAATGTTTTTATTTTCCCTTAAAAGGCATAAAAATTGAGAAGCATAAAGAAGAACATGAGCCATCCAAGGACAGAAAGAACATCTGAGGAGTTATAATCCTCAGAAATAAGAAGATACAAGGTACCAATGAAGAATCTGCTCAACTCCTAACAGGGTAGAGCTGTGGATTTGAACAAACATACTTTCTGTGTCAACAGTTCTTCATGATTAAAAAACCTCCAAAATCTGTTAGCAAAGATTCTCCCTTCTTTGATTTTGGATGTGCCTCAGCACACAGATAGGAAGCAACCACTGCATGGCAAGAGATACTTCTTTCAAAGATTTACTTTCTTAGCATAAATTTTGCATCATGAGATTTACCTGCCATTTCTCAAGAGGCTCCTCTGTTCAGAGCACACAATTGTGATTCACACGAGAGGTGCAAAGGAGATCCTATCAACAACTTTATATAAAGCTACACTACATCTGCCACACTATATTGCCTGCAGGTAACAGTTGGTGTTTAAAACTTACCTGTTGAAAAAGGAATGCCAACAAATGCAGGTAATAGAGCCACATAATATAATTTGTTCTTTAAAAGTGACAAACATTGAAGTTCCTTCACCAGGTATTGGTTTATCATGATATACTGGGTGATGACTGTACCTTTTTTCCCTCCTGGGATTACTGTTTCCAGAGAATTGAGTGATAAAGTGATAAATATATAATTGTCTGGGATACAGTTCAACATCTATCTCAGCAGTCGGTCTGTGGCACAGAGAGAGAAATAAACGTCAAAGCACTAAAGAGATCGAATCTTACGAGTGTTCTTTAYGCATCTGTGCTCAGGGAAGCAGGTTTATACACCTTGAAAATAAAAACTGGAGGCACAAAAACATCCAGGGCACTGCTATTTCCATTTCAACATAGCATTTTACAGGTTATGAGAGCAACACAGATGCAACCCACATCCAGCGAGCCAGTGTGACCAGAAGTACAGGTGAAGTGATGGTCAGTCTCATTAGGAGATTTCAATGGGCTCCACAACATATACCCAGGCTCCAGAYCTGCATTATAAAAGGGGTGAGGGACACCTTGCAGGGCACTATTATTTAAGTGCTTTCTGGCTTCTGAGAAGCAAAATAAAGACCATATGCATTGATGACCCCCAAGGAGGGATTTCTGGATTTAAATAAAGTTCCATATTTACTCTGTTTCACAGAAGTTGATCGACTTAAASTAATCCACTTCTTGACTCTCCTTAGGACCAGATATTTGAAGTGAGTCRTGAAGCATGTTTAGGGACACTGGTATGAACTATCTTGCAATCAAGTCAATGTGAGCTAAAGGAAGTCAACAGCTGCCAGGAAGCACTCAATGCCTCAGCAGACAGYGAAGACATAAGAGAGCCTGCAAGACTTTAACAGAATCTGCATTCTCTTCTCTTCTCTTCTTTGAGCTGAAGATAAGGTAACCACATCCTCTGCAATGTGACTGCAGTAAATGTTGCCTCTTGAATGGCACTGACAAACCTTCCCCAGCCTAAACCCCATTCTGATTTGAAATTAACTTAGCTCTACCAAAAAAAACAAACTACAATTTGTTCTTTCCTGATGCGGCCTTCTCCCTAAAGCAGCCCAAGAAGCTGCTGGCCACCTTCACCACAAAAGCACACTGTTGGCTCAWGGTCAGCTTGTTGTCCCCCAAGATCCCAAGGTCTCTGCAGAGCTKCTTTCCAACCAGATTGCTCCAGCCTGTACTGGTGCAGGGGCTTACCCTCAGACACCCCCAGATACTGGACTGGGCATTTCCCTGYGTCGAGCTTGATGAGACTCCTCTGTCCACACTGCCAAGGTCTCTCTCCACAGCAGCACAACCCTCTGGCTCATCAGCCKCTCCTTCCAGGTTTTTCACCACCTGGACTTTCCCCGAGTGCACTCTGCATCATCATCCAGGCCATTAATGAAGATGTGGAACAGCACCAGCCCCAGTATGGACCCCTGGGGTACACCACTRGTGACTGGCYTCCAACTGGACCTYGGAGCATTGATCACAACCCTCTGGGCTGGGTTGTTCAGKTTTAAATCCATCTCACTGCCYACYWWTSTAATCTATACCCTRTCAGCTTKTCTGTRGGGATGTTATGGGAGACTAGAACCTTACWAAAATCAAGGTAAACAGCATCCATCATTCTTCCCTTGTCCACCAAGCTAGTCACCTCATTACAGAAAGCAGTAAGGCTGCTGAAGCATCATTTCCCCTTTGTAAATCCATGTTGACT